TTGAGAGAACCTTGAGAGGATGTTCCTAGGGTTCTAAGGTCTGAAAATAGTGAGAAGAAATGACTTAAAACGGGTTGGAGGCATCCTATATAGGTCCAAATATCTTAAACCGCCTTAGTGGGCCCCATAGAGAGGTGCTTGGCGCGGTCTCGCGAAAATGCGAATATTTCTTTACTCCGAGATCGTATCAATGAACGGTTTAATGAATTGGAAACTAGACTCATAGATATTTAATTTGGTTGGTAGATCACCCCGTAATTCCTTATAAATTAGGAGAAAAGATTAGAAACATTTGACCTAATGTTTAAGTAAAATTATGAACCTAAGTTGAGACAACTTTTGTCGACTTTTGTTTCATAACTCGTTTGACTTCAAGACTTATGATACGGATATTATATGATTAAAATACCTTAATACATGACCTCTTGAGTGTATTAAGCACCGCTAGATTTACCTGAAAATACGAGTTACAACATCCTTGATTCATTTAACTTCTAATACTTCTTAATCACCCTTATACACTCTTGTATCACTTAAGACCAATAGGATTGACTTTTTATCATCTCAAAGAAAATTCCTTCTTGGATTTATGTTAACTAATATATGGCATGAACTAACACATGTGGATATGGGTTGTAACACGTGCTAACTCTGGATCATTGATCAAATAATTCTTTTGTTTCATCTTAGATTTCTTTCAACGTAAGCTATTACTTTTCCTGGTCTTTCTACCCCCTCGTTGCGTCCATACTTAGCTTATATTAGTGCCCACACTTTCCAAAGTTTTTATACAACTCATATGATCTCGAATATTACTTTTAACTCTTACTTCCCGTTCATTAGCCACGGTAGGTTCCACTTTCCTTTGGAATGCTTATAATGTTGTTGTGAGATTGTTGTTACACGACCATTTCCTCTTTAGGTCGTTGTGCTTAGGTTGAAGCCTTCTTTCTTATCTCCTCAACTAGTCTTTCGTTGTAGTACTTAGGGAGAACCCTAGACTCTTGTAATTCTATGAGCTTATTACGGACTTTTTCTGATGTCTTTATTGCCTATAATCATCTATAGTTGCTTACTTCCATGCCCTTGTGCTTATATGGTTGCTTCTAAACTGATATTTTGACTACCTTCCCAGTGGCACTTTCTTTTATCTCCGTAACACTCATACGATACCTTAAACTACCCCGACTCTTGTTTGAATATATCTCAAGTATTTTAATGATATTCCCCAAGGCTAAATTCTCCATGTTGAGTTCTACTATGTTTATCTTACACGATCTGATGACTCGTCTCTAACCTCCTATTTAGCCATAACTGGGATCTTCCTGACCAATTATTAACTACTTATTGGCTCATTCTCATATCAATATTCCTCGTAATCATTCTTGGGTTATTTACTTTATTTTAACTTACGTCTCGCACTGACTCCTTATTTATTAGTAATAGCTCGGGTAGGAACCTTTACTTTCTCTCTTTAACGTCGTACTTGCACAATATTCTTGAATCGTAGTATATCTGTAAGATTTGGATAAGTGCCATCTCATTCCTCTTTCATTTATCGCATTCTTCCTTGACCATTCCATAGTCACTAGAACCACTTACTTCTGACTTAATGCCACATTACTCCATATTCCCCCCCCCCCCTTTGGGATGTACTAAAAGTTGAAGCCACGAGGATCTACCTATAGATGTTTTACCTCTTCATCTTTGGCGTCGTTTCTCAACATCAATGATCCTTATTCACCTTGCGGCAATTCTTCTATACCAAAGATGGCAAATTCCCTTACTCGCAAGGGTGACACTTAGCGTAACTGGCACATACAGTCTCTTAAACTTAACTTTGCTCACATTGCTTGCTCTAGAGAAGCATCTCCATGAATGACTATTCTCTGAATTCATCGTGAATATTCTTCTGTGGTCCATTCTATTACCACCGGAATGAAATCTGAAATTCCCATGATGCCGAGTACTTTTCAATCATTCAGTCCCTAATTCATATTTAGTTTATCTTATTTACCAGTCCATACTGATTTCTGTTACTCCGGGGATTAACTCTCCCCTCTGGTAGTCGCGTTAGAGTCACGAACTTATTTCTCAAAATGAGGATATAACCTTATGACCTTAACTCTTTCATTGTCTTAAGGCCCATCACCTTTCATCTCTTCCTTCATTTGGCTATAGGTTCTGTAACACTCTATTGTTTTCATCTATGTATCACACCTTATTCATAATGCTTCCTTATCTCTCTCCTCATTACTCTGTTAATATTTCTGCATATCCTTTTTCTTATGAAAACTTCAATAAAACATTCTTTTGCTTTTAGCTTCTCTTTGCTCCATCCAAATGGCTCTTTAGGTTGCTCAACATCCTCGCTCTACTAGGGACGAGAGCCGCACTTAAGGTAATATTTATCCCATCCAGGCTTTTAGTGCCTATCCTCTTAATGCTAGTATTTATATCTAATCGTAATATTCTAGGGTGCACCATATGGGTG